TGAGATTAGAACACGGAACGCGAACGTTCTAACCACTAAGCCACGTGTCCATCGTTTCCGGATGTATACTGTTACAAAATAACAAAGAAGACAAGGCTCTTTTGCCTTGGTTGGCAGCCAGTCTAAGTGACGAGCAAAATTCGACCACCGAAGTTAAGTAGCGTTGAGTTTAGTTAATGCTTATATGCGGGATCACTTAGGTACACCGGGTACTGTAAGCAACCACCTACAATCCTAAATAAGTTTCGGTTTTAAATAACCCACAACAGGTTGATAAACCGTAAAAATACTACGAATTGAACATGTGAGCAATGAGAATGTTTTAAAGTAAATGGTATCTGTAAGGATGCATAGATAAATTCAGAAAGATATCGTTGTAATTTCTGTGTGCAAAATGAAGAAATAAGGTTTGGAAAATTTAACACTCACAAGATATAATGAAGGAAGTGGGGACAATATAGAAAAGAGAAGCGAAACGAAAGAACAAACAACTTACTATAAGAAGACAGAATGTCTGGCCGTCAGAAAGAGAGGCAATTGTATGATATGAACTCTGAGAATTGAACCTCGTAGTTACTAACAGCATTTATACTAAAAATTAAATTAGTAAATTACTAATTGTTGTATATCAGCGTTTCCCAACCTTATCACGACCAACGCCCTCTTTGGGCACAAACTTTTTGTCAACGCCCCCAAATGTCAAATTAAATTTCGAATATTATACTAAATTTCTCTTTCATAGCATGATAACAGGTATTAGTGCAAAAATAATGTTAGTACTGTTTTCATTTCTATTAGATATGACAATGATTAAAATCGTATTAAAAAGTTTTTATTTTATAGCTTATCTCAATGTTTTCAATGCGATGGTCGACTTTGGTGCTTACTGGTTAAGGCCATTACTCTAGGTTCCATAATTCTTGGAAGTAATCGTAAATCACATTGTTTTGTAATTTGCAGGCGGTTTCTTTTTTTAGTAAGAAGTCGTGTAACTGCGTTGAAACCACATTCAGCCATATAGGAAGTTGAAAATGCAATGAAGAAAAGTTTGATAGCTTTCCACAGCACGTTAAGAAATTTCCTTTTGTAGCCAATATTGAATAATTTTTGAAAATCTGAAAAAAATGGATACATACCCACAGCCACATAAGTATGTTCTCCCCCCCCACCACAAATGAAATAAAAAAAACTCCCAGTGCCCCCTTTCAGCATAACAGAGTCCACAAGGGGGCGCTATCACCCACTTTGGGAAACACTGTTGTATATAAAACCTCTTGGTTTTTGGGAGATTGTCTCTTTGAAACACACACACACACATATGTGTTTCAAAGAGACAGTCCCCGCAAAACGCCAATAGAGTGTGCGAGGAGAAAATCACTTTCATGATTCTTCATATGTATGTGTATGTGTTTATGTGTGTGTGTGTGTGTTGAAGCTGTTATCTGAACGACTCGATGTGAAATTGGAATCGCATTAAAGGAAATACAAAATCGTGAGGGATAAAATAGTTGTGGTCAAAGACCTAATTTCCTGGCATTGTATCACTTGTTGATGCTTTAAAAGCTGTTGTCGAGTCAAATAACAGAATTGGCGGAGAAGGATGTTCAAGCTGACCTTTTCCACAACTGCTAAACACCCTTCCTCGTGTAGCCTGGGAAAAGCAAAAAAGGATCCCTTATTATTACAATTAGCGATAATTTCCGACGTGATAATAATGGTGGTAGGGCGTGTTTGATGAGAGATGGAAAGAGATAACAAACAAAGCAGAGTAAAAGAAAAACGCAAAGATAGACGCAACTTCTTCTTTCTGCTGTGTTCCTTCAGGATGTAGGCGATTATGGCTCTCCACAATTTCCTGTCCTTTGTAGCCCTTATAAAGTTTGTATTTTTGCTATATCTCATAATCTGTGTTCTACTTACCGTTTATGTAGATTTTATGCTGCTTTCCTCTGTTCTTCTTCTCCCCAATATTTCATGTGAGTGTCAAATTTTCCAAGCCCTCTTTCCTCATTATGTCTCCTAGACTTTTTAAGTGTTTCCGATTCTAAGCATAAGTGTACTTTTTTAAGGCAAAACCACAGGACAGAAAATGATGTTTTGGCTGATATAGAGGATGCTGATTAATATCACCACTTTAATAAGGGTACTTTTTGCAATGATGTTCACCCTGTACAAGGCCCAGGAGCCACTCGAGGTAGAGTTTGACAGAGAAAGAGGCACAGTTTATGCGGATATGTGGCGGAAGATAACTGCTAACCGTAGATTTAAACAGGTTATGATTGTAGGGATTGTGGCAGCATTCTATTTGGAGTCGGTTCCACAAAGCAACTGTTCGGGAGAAGCTGCTCGAGCGGAATTTATATCTCACGAAGATGTAGCACGAGACCTTGCCGCCAATCTAGTACTGCGCTTAAATTCATGAAGTTCAGGTACCAAAGTGGAAAGTTCATCAGAACAATTGTCATGAAAGTATTATAAGAAAAGACACAGAGAAGCTACATTACAGCGGGGGGGGGGAGTGTCTGAATCCGAGATGCCAGTTCACCACCATTAAGAGTTTTTTCTTTGAATTTTTTTCATGAAGAATCTCTAAACATATAGCAGAAGCATCAGACCAGATGTGGTAGCAATATTCAAAGCATGGACGAATGGTAGACTTATAAATGTGTAAGATAGATTCTTCTTTGGATTTTATCAAGAATCTCTAAATATATAGCAGGAGTACCAGACCAGATGTGGCAGCAATATTCAAAGCATGGACGAATGGTAGACTTATAAATGTGTAAGATAGATTCTGGTGAGAAAAATTGTCTGGAATAACACAGTGAACCAAATTCTCGAGCTACTTTCCTAGTAATAGATTCAATATAATCTTTCCAATTCATGTCAGCGGGAAATATTAGCCTAAGAAGTCGCAACGAGTCACTCTCTTGGAGGCTAGCATCAGCCATGCTGATGGAAGACAAAAATGTTATTTCAGACTATTAAAAGAGAGTAGTTTCTTTTTGGTGGGCGGTGGAATTTAAATTACGGAGGCATTTCTTACGCCAGTTAACAACAAATGTCATTTTTGAGCTCACCTGCCAATTTGACCTTATCGAACCGACCAGGTTTACCATTAAGACAGGAGTAAATAGTTGCGGAGTTTAGAAGTGATGACATCAGGAATGTCATTGTTGTCATGTCGGTTCAAGAATATATCCCTGGGGACACCTGCATTAATCAAAAAAAAAAAAAAAATAATAGCCGTCCAAGACAACTTTCATTTAAAATTGGATAAGAAATATAGAATCAGATGAAAAATTCGTCAAGAAATACCCTAACCTTTCAACGTGTGAAGAAGAACAGCGTGCCAAACCTTGTCAAATGCCTTCGAGATATCCAAAGCATCAGTCCAAGCTTCACCATTCTTATCTAAAGCTTTTAGCAATAAACGTTAATACAGTTGTCATAAAGAAGAGAAAGCCATATTGCTTATCTGAAAGAAGACCCTCCGAAGTGAGATACTTAACCAATTCAGAGTTGAACCTCTAGTACTTTGCTAAAAAGAGGTAGAAGTTTAATAGACTGACAGAAGGATCAGACGGTTCGTCTGTGTTCTTTCTACTGAACTCTTTTAACAACTATAAAATTATAAGAAATACCAGACTACTCGTGGCCCGTTGGCTCACTAACAGTTCAGGTTCTGAAACATTGAAGTTTATTTCAACATTAAAATAATGTCTGTTTGTAGAAAGTTGAAATAAAAAAAATACTTATTGTTTGTTTAAAGAAAGCAGAAATATAACTGTAGAGAGAGAGAGAGAGAGAGAGAGAGAGAGAGAGAGAGAGAGAGAGGTGTGTGTGAAAAGCCGTCATAAATGTAACCATTTTATGTCCATAATCCGGATGTTAAATAAGGTCGCCATTTGAGACAAATCCCTGTTAGTGTCACTGTCAAAGTATACACAACATTTACTTCTCTTTCCCTTATTACACGATAATAAATTTACATCTTTCTTTCCCCCACTCTATATAACTTCTGGCAAACACAAAGATACAAAGTTCACGGGGTTTTATAGTAATAAAGATAAAGTGGTCATTTTAAATGTATAGTAAGAGCTACAAGAAAAGACAAAATTATATCCAAAATTTATCATGTTTGTAAAATAAAGAAACTTCAGCCCAAGACTTGCAATATGTTGAACTGTATTGGTTCTATGTTACCTGACTTGAATAAATTGAATATAGAGATATACAATACATTTGGTTAAAATTTCAGAATAAAACGAGTGATACCGACCGACGGTTTACGTGACGGAGATGTATTTAGTGGAGCTTCGTTAAATGCTCTTTAGACAGGACGTGGGATCTTATGCATTGCTTAAATTATGGTTGGATTAGCGTGAAAATCTGAGGTCAACCGATACACGGGGCATATGATAAATTACTGTATCTGTCTATACTTCTGAGATGAGGTATTATGTACACTCCACTGCCTTATTGAACTCACACTCTTTGGGTCCTGTCACTGGATCTAACCAACGCCTTTATCCACTGTGCCATGTGTTCTCAAGTGGAGAGGGGAATTAACAGGAGATAAATGATAACTGACATCCATTAAACATGGCACGTGGAACTAGAACAATCTACCACAGTGAGCGAAATAAAGGGTTCAGTTCGACATTCCGACCATCTGAAGAAGGCTGGAGAGTACAACGGCTGAAATGTTGTAATAAATATGGCGACAAAGATGGGGACAATAGTCCGAATAATGTAAATGGTGATAAATTACTGATATTTTTTACTTCTGTCATAAAATAGAGACTCGAACTTTTAACGATAGACTCATACACGACAACATACGACATTTTTACATATACATTTTTAGCCGCAGCCAATAAAGCGGCAGGTTATATAAAAATTTTATTGTGGGTATTTCAAAAATAGCTCTTTGTAAAAAAAGTCTCTTACAAACATATGCTTAAACCAGAAGCAAGGAGAGCTAGCTAGCTAGCTAGCTAGCTAGATAGATAGATAGATAGATAGATAATGAAGAGATTGGGATAGATAGATAGATAGATAGATAGATAGATAGATAATGAAAGACTGGGGTAGATAGATAGAGAATAAAGAGATTGGGATAGATAGAGAGATAATGAAGAGATTGGGTTAGATAGATAGATAGATAGATAATGAAGAGATTGGGATAGATAGATAACGAATAGATTGGGATAGATAGATAGATAGATAATGAAGAGATTGGGATAGATAGATAGATAACGATAGATAGATAGATAGATAGATAGATAATGAATAGATTGGGATAGATAGATAGATAGATAGATAACGAATAGATTGGGATAGATAGATAGATAGATAGATAATGAAGAGATTGGGATAGATAGATATAAACAGATTATATATATATATATATATATATGTGTGTGTGTGTGTGTGTGTGTATACGTGTGTGTGTGCGTACTCAAGAAACGTTTCAAGGATGCTGTTAAAAGCAACCTAAAGAATCTTGAAATTAGTCTCAAAGACTGGGAAAAAGAGGCAGAGAATAGTTCTGATGGCAAAAAGTTAGTTTTTGATGGTTGCAATCGTTTCGAGGTTAAAAGCAGTTGAGCATTTGAATTTGAATTAAGTTCTTATGGAAAGTAATGTAGACTCTCAGAAGATACTCAGCCTGAGCTTGTATGTAACATCCGCAGGAAAGTTGTTATATCTCGTGCCAGATTTGCAACCACTGAAGCTTAGATGCAAATCGGCAGTCTAATCCCCAAGCATTGTTTCTTTACATTTGACAAACAACTTTACAGACAAAAATTGGTTTACCAATGGGATCTCCTCTCAGCGACGTTCTTGCGTGTCTATTTTTAAAGTTTCTAGAAAGTGACCCATTCAAAAACATTCTACCTCCAAACTCTTCCTATTTCAGATACATAGACAACTCACTATTAATATATTCGCAAAATACTAATTTAACAGATCTTGCCAACCAACTTAACAACGTTGAACCTACAATAGATTATACCTTTGAAATTAAACCAACTACACTCTTCTCTTCCTAGATATCATGTTGCAGAGAAACAATAACGAATTCAATTTTGACGTTTATAGAAAGCTACCAACAAAAATGATCTGTCCAGTTTCTACTCAAAGCATTCTTCTAAAATTAAATCTGGAATTATTATAGGTTTCTATTTGAGAGCATTATGAATCTGCAGCCCCCAATATTTACCTAAAGAAGAAACATACATAGAAAGCACATTCAATAACCTACAATACATATATCATTTCCTACACAACGCAAGAAGAAAGGCATACAAAATATACAACCGCAACAAAAATAACATCATCATCCATAATAATAAATTATATGAGAACAGATACAATACTACAGACCAACACCGTCACGTCCGCTATCCAGAACAACCTATCCCATCTAAATAATCTTAAACTAATCACTAACACTTCCAAAACCATTATGGATATAATCAGCAATAATATTTCTGAAGCAGGTATGTATAAAATAAATTGCCAAAACTGTTCTTCACAATACATTGAAGAAACATGGGAAAATTAAAAAAAGCATCTATAAGCACAAAAGAAACCTCATAAATAAGAATATAACAAATGCACAAGTCATACATAGAAATAAATTCAACCAAAAATTTGATTTTACAAATGATACACTCATAAAAAAAGTAAATTCAATCAGAAGGAAAATCCTCGAGAGTGCAGCCATTGAATATTATCCAAATATTAATCTACGTCCAGTTTTTTTACCAATATCACCTTTCCTAACTAAATCTCTACTCTCCGAAGCCAACGTACGCAACAAATATATCAAGCAATCAAAATAAAACGGGTTGAATCCATCAACACAACAATACAAACAATGCAGTATTTACATTAGTCGGACTATTGTCCTCATCTTTGTCGCCATATTTGTCACAACGTTTCGGCCGTTGTACGCTCCGGCCTTCTTCAGGTGGTTGGAACTTCGAACTGAACCCTTTATTTCGATCACTGGGGTATACTGTTCTAGTTCCACGTGCCATGTTTGATGGATGTCAGTTATCAGTTATCTCCTGCTAATTTTCCCTCTGAAAGTTCTCCACTGCCTTAACCAGGAATTGAACTCACCTTCTTTGGGTCTGTCACTGGATCTAACCAACGCCATTATCCACTGTGCCATGTGTCCTTGAGGACATGTGACATCCGCGGAAAGGAATATAAAGGAGAGACAGGCCGCTCCCTTAAGGTAAGACTTCAAGAACACCAGAAAGCTGTAACGCGAGGGGAAGTAGAAAAATCAGGCGTGGCTGACCACATATGGAGAGAGAAGGGAGATCACCGCCCCCTGGGATCATGTTGAGATCATAGACAGGGAACACCATTGGAAAATTCGTAAACTTAAGGAATCAGCACATATGCTAGGCCACAAAAATCTCCTGAGCCGACCAAGCATAGAAATAAATACAATATGGGAACCAGTAATAAGGAGTGCCAGAGAAAAGCAATGATAACAAAGTTGTAATATGAACTCTGGTAAAGGCATGCAATGATAACGGCAAAATTGCAATATGAGCACTGGTAAAAAATGATGCTGAAAACATTAGGTTTATAATACTCAGAAGTTCATACCCAGATGTACTCAAGGACACATGGCACAGCGGATAAAGGCGTTGGTTAGATCCAATGACAGACCCAAAGAAGGTTAGTCCAATACCTGGTTAAGGCAGTGGAGAACTTTCAGAGGGAAAATTAGCAGGAGATAACTGATAACTGACATCCATCAAAACGTGGAACTAGAACAGTCTACCCCAGTGATCGAAATAAAGGGTTCAGTTCGAAATTCCAACCACCTGAAGAAGGCCGGAGCGTACAACGGCCGAAACGTTGTGACAAATATGGCGACAAAGAAGAGGACAATAGTCCGACTAATGTAAATACTGTACATAATACCTCATCTCAGAAATATAGACAGACTCTGAATACAAACATATACACGTGAAAATATTTTCTTCAAACATAGAGTAATTGACGTAATTTTTCAGATGACCATATGCATATACAATAGCATTTCTAGATTCTTCTATTTGCTAACGACATTTTGTTTGTTGTTTATAAATACTTTGTTTCAATAAATTCATTTCAATTTTTGCCTTGAAAAAGTTAACATTGGACGAAACGCGTCGGCTAAAACTACAGTTTTCCTATTGTCTTTTTTCCTTTATTCCTATTGTCTTTTTCTATAGGTTACTTCTGAGATATTTTTACACACACACACATACACATCCACACACCCCCACACACATACACCCCTAACACACATACACACAAACTCACACACACACACACACACACACACACATATACCCCCCCACACACATACACACACCCACACACACATACACCCCCGACACACACACACACACACACACACACACACACACACACACATATATATATATATATATATATATATATATATACGAGGGTGTGTTGAAAAGTTTATAGGCACTGACTATGCATGAGAGCTGTAAAATCTGTAGATTCTAGAGATGTAAAATCTTTCTTTTATATGCCGTGTCTCTTCAGCACTTAGGCGATCGTGGCCCTTCTCCTCCTCCTGTCCCTTGTAGCTGTTAATAAGTTTGCCTTTTTGTTATTCTTCCCAAACTCTGTTATGCCATCCATTTATTCAAGCCCATTAGGTATGTCACACCTTGTTTACCCATTACCCTTCTTCCGTCTATCCGTCCTGTGAGTATCAGATTTTCCATGCCTCCTTTCCTCATTACGTGTCCCAGAAATTTCAAATGCCTCTTCCTGATGTTAAATATACGTTTTCTCTTTGTTTCCATTCTCTCCAAAACCTCGTCGTTTTTCACATGTTCGGCCCATGGCATCCTTAGCATCCTTCTGTAGAACCACATTTCTGTTGATTCGAGTCTCTTCTTCATCTTTTCGAAAACTGCCCAGCATTCGCTGCCATACAGGAGGAAGATATCTTTTCTTTGTTTCCAACGAAATTTTCCTGTCTCTTAATACTCTGCTTAGCTTTTGGAATGCATCTTTGACCGTCAGAATACGTCTTCGGATCTTAGTGTCGCACATTCCCTCCTCTGTTAGAACACTTCCCAGATATTAAAATTTCTGTACTTGATTTTAGTATCTCCGAACTGTAACTTACATTTTGTGTTTTTCTTTTTGCTGATGACCATACAGACTGCCTCCTGCTAGTTTATACTTAATCCTTTCTTCTTGCTTTTCTTCGCTACTTTCTCTAGAAGTTTTTTTTTTAGTTTCATTTCTGTGTCTGCTATCAGCACTGTGTCATCTGCATATCTTATATTGTTAAGATTGTGTCCGCCAAAGATGAATCCTGGTAAGACTTACCGTTCTCTCAGAACTGCTTCGCTGCATAGGTTGAATAAGTCCGGTGAGAAGATACATCCTTGTCTTACACCCCTTTCTATTTTTGTATATCTGCTGAACACATTTTTATGCAGACGGTTTGCTGCCAGTTTAGATTTTCTATTAATCTAATGTCTTTATCGAATATGTTCAGGCTGCTGAGCAGCTCTGACAGATCTTTGTGGCATACTTTTTCGAACGCTTTTGCATAGTCTATAAAACACAGGTACACGTCCTTCTGCATTTGTATTGCTCTTTCTGATAAGATTCTGAGCAAAACTATCTGGTTCCTTTTTCCGGTGTCTTTGACGAACCCGTACTGTTTCTGTCCTATCTCTGGCCTGATTCTGCTGCGCGCTCTGTTCATCAGAATTCTGATAAGTTTTGTTATGTGGCTCATTAAGCTGATTGTTCGGTGGAGTTCCCATTCGTTTGCGCCTGGTTTTTCAGGCAGTGCTATGAAAATAGATCTACCTAGGTCTTCTGGTATCTCACCTTAGTTGTAGATTTCATTAATTATTTCTGTAATCTTGTCTAGGTCGAAATCGTCTAAGGCTGCCAGTATCTCTATTACAATTCCGTCTGGCACTGCCACTTTGTTTTTGTTCAATTTTGCTAGTACAGCTTCCACTTCGGTTTTTAATATTTCCGTCCCATCGGTATTTCTTTGTATTGGCGGTCGTTCCCTTTCGTCGTGGAAGGGATCTCTGATATATTTATTCCATCGCTGTAGTATTTTTCTTTCTCTAATATGAGCGTTCCATCTTTGTATTTTATGCTGCCTGTTGATGTGCATGTCTTTTATCGTGTTTTCTTATTTTTGATGCATATCTCCTTTATCTGTGATACTCATTCTCTCTATGCACATTTTTCGTTGAGTCATTCATCTTTAGCCTGCTTGCATTTGTTCTTTATTTCATTGCGTATTTTCCTGTATTTTGTGTCATGTCTTGGCATTGTTTTCTCTCTCCTTTGCATCATGTCGAGCATGTCATTGTGATCCATTTGTTTTTTTCTTTTTCGTCCATTTTCCTTTGTGATGATGCCGTTTTCAGATGTCACTAAATTTTCACTTAATGTGTCCTATTTCGAGCTTCCCTTTCCATTTTGTCACTTGTATTCTTTTTCACACTGCCCATATACTTTTCCTTCAGGTTCGGGTCGTTCAGGAGTCTGTTGTATTGCATTTTAGGTGCAGCATTAGGGTTCTTCAGTTTCCATTGTTTCATTCTTAGTTTACATGTAACAGTGAGGTGGTTGCTTCTGCAGTTGGCACTTGGATAGATTTTTCAGTGAACAACTACAATCCTGAATTTTTTTGATAGTTCTGTAGTCGGTTTGGTATTCAGTTTCTTCCCCTGGGTTTCTTTACGTCTATAATCGTCTTGGATGGTTTTGAAACCAGGTGTTGGCTATTATCTATTGGGCCTATTTTCCTCCGCGTTCGTTGCAGGTTCATAGTCCGAATTTGCCAGCCATTTCCCCTACTTTGGCATTCAGGTCTCCCATAATTATAATTTCTTGTGATTTACACTGAAGCATAGACTAGAAAGATTCGATTAACTACAAGAATTCTTTTAAATAATTGACAGTTTCCCAGAACACATTTCTTGATGTCATGATCTAGTATCAATCCAAATCCTTTTTCATTTTTCTCTCCGCCTGCATATATAATTCTGTGGTTGTCCACTATTTACATTATTCGGACTAATGTCCTCATCTTTGTCGCCATATTTATTACAACGTTTCGGCCGGTACATCAGGTGGTTGGAATGTCGAACTGGACCCTTTATTTCGCTCACTGGGGTAGACTGTTCTAGTTCCCCGTGCCATCTTTAATGGATGTCAGTTATCAGTTATCTCCTGTTAATTCTCCTCTCCAAGTTCTCCACTGCCTTAACCGGGTATTGAACTCACACTGTTTGGGTCCTGTCACCAGCGCCTTTATCCACTATGCCATGTCCCCTTGAGGAGATAACTGATAAGTGACATCCATTAAACATGGCACGTGGAACTAGAACAATCTACCCCAGTGAGCGAAATAAAGGGTCCAGTTCGACATTTGAAGAAGGCCGGAGCGTACAATGGCCGAAACGTTGTAATAAATATAACGACAAAGATGAGGAAAATAGTCCGAATAATGTAATTAGTGTACATAATACCTCATCTCAGAAATATAGACAAATTCTGTGGTTGTCACTGACAAAATCCACGTTGTTTTGCCACATAGTTTCACGTACACCTAAAAAGTTAACATTTTACCTACTCATTATATATATAAGTTTTAGAGAGGTGAGTTGAAGAGGTTTAAGTGAGAGAAATATGAATGTTGTCGGATGTCTAATACATTAAAGATGTAACCGTGAAGGATACATTTCGTGGTGACATACACACACAATAGACGATCTAATCTTAAAGATCAGAAGAAGAGGGATGGAGAGGAAAAGACAAGAAAAAGGGGTGGGGGAGAGAGATGGGGCGAGGGAAATTAAAACTGAAGGGCATTTACTGAAAGGGCCGCTGTGTAATTAAGAAAATTTGACAAAATTAATATCGACTACAGAAACAAATCAAATATAAACATATAAAAAATAATATAACGATTATCTAATCTAGCAAGGACCTATATTTTTATGTTAAAAACACATGCGTATACACACATACACAATAACATATACACGTACATACATACATACAGGCGTGTACCCACATACACACATATATGTACCCATGTACACACATACATATTATATCCACATACACACACACACACACACACACACACATATATATATATATATATATATACACACACATTTACACACATATATACATACGGACATACATATACGTGCACATAAACATATATACATAAAATCTTACATCTCCATACAATTACATACACCCATCTAAACAAATAAACAATGTATCCCTATATCTATCCGTCTAACTATACATACATACATATACACTCATATACAGATATATATGAGTACATACATACCAAAACATACACACACACATATAAACACATCCACATATACATCTATCTACATATACATACATCCATATACGCATGCATAAATATACATATATACGCATACATGATTTGATTACATGTAATATGTTGATCTATATATACGTGAATTGCACTAGATTTTGACAAATAACAAGTTAACATACCAGCGACTGTGGTGCATGTTCATATGTGCATGTGAGGTCAATGTAAGTGTTTAATGTTATATAAACTTCTTTAAAATAATTCTTGCTGCCTAAATACACATACACACACACACACACACACACACATATATATATATATATATATATATATATATATATATATATATATATATATAAGGTGTATATATATATGTGTGTGTGTATAAAGTTTGTCAATGAGAGTGAAAGGTGAGAAGGTGACTATGGCGAAAAAATGACAGGAAAATGACTGTTGCTCTGTTAGAATTCTGTTGAGCAACAAAATAATGTTTCAACAAAATTAAATTTAAACTTTAACCTTAACAGAATTTAGCAACGAATGCCTGGTGCTGGTAATAAGCGCGAACTGCAACAGTTTTAGAAGCGTCAGAACAACTGGAGGGGGATGTAGTGAAAATGGAATATAAATATAGGAAAGAGAAGTAAAAGAGAAAGGAAATGTGAGTGGGGAAGAAGAAAAAGAAAAAGAAGAAGAAGAAGAAGACACATGAAAGAAGGTGACAGAAAGAAGGAATTTTTCATTTTTTATTTCTTGTCTCTTTGTTTTCTGTCTGTGTGTTTATTTTGCACTTTGATTAAAAATGGAGACAAGGAATATTTTGTTAGTTTTTAGTAAACTGTTCTCGTTTACGTACAAGATCTATCCCTTTCGATTTTACTTTTTGGCATTATCAAAACATGTAAAATCTATAGATCTATATATTTTTTTAATTTTAAAGTTGGTATTATGGCATTTGTACGTTATGAAGATATTTATACAAACTAACAAGAAACTGCTGTTCGACTCGAAACTGTATTGTCAGCTTCAAATTCATGTTAGATGGCTATTTATTTACTTCCAAAGGAAATGATTTCTGAAAAAAATTGCTAAATAAAATTAATTTCAATAGAAATAGTGCTTAATATATTATTTCCACTTTCATGAAAATCTGTTCGTCTATTTTTCGAAAATAATTTTTGAAAAGAAAAAATTTTCGAGATTTAAGGATTTTCAGAAGATAAAAAATATTTTTTAATCTGTATCTACAAAGGAGAAGGATTTCTTCCTTTCTTTTCTTCTTCTTTTTCTACTATTTCCTTCGTTTCTTTCTTTCTTTCTTTCTTTCTTTATCCTTTTCTTTCTTTCTTTCTTTCTTTATCCTTTTCTTTCTTTCTTTTTTTATCCTTTTCTTTCTTTTTTTATCCTTTTCTTTCTTTCTTTTTTTATCCTTTTCTTTCTTTCTTTTTTATCCTTTTCTTTCTTTCTTTCTTTCTTTCTTTCTTTCTTTCTTTCTTCTTTTCATTCTTTTTTTCCTTCTTTCATTCTGTATCACCCTTTTCTAATTATTTTTTAATTTCTTTTTTTTACCCTTTTCTTTATTTTTACGTCCTTCTTTCCTTTACTTTTCTTCTTCAGGCTTTACAATTTTCTCTCTTTTTGTTACTTTCTTTTTATTACTCCGTTTATTTTTAATACTTTCTTAATTACGTCTTTCTTTCTTTCTTTCTTTCTTTCTTTCTTTCATATACTTTTATTTATCCTCTTTTCTTTTTTACTTCTCTCTATCCTTTATATTTCCCATTTCATTCTATTTAATTCATTTTTCTTTCTTTCTTTCTTTCTTTCTTTCACTTTTCGAATTTTCTTCTTTTTTCTTTTCCTCTCTATCCTTTATATTTTTACCCATTTCATTCTATTTAGTTATTCTTTCTTTCTTTCTACAAACGTACAGCAAGGTACCACGTAGATATATTTTATACGTGTTTCTTTTCACATACCCCTCACGTTCAAACCGACCCTAAATAAACAAACCCTGCCGAAGAAAACTGATTTTGCGGATTGATTTATTTTGTAAGGTCAAATGTTGTACATTTTTTGACTATCTGTTGATTTCATCAAACCAGTTAAGTATTTAAAAGAAAATTGTCCAAGAGTGTCAAGGCTGTTCAGCTGTCAACATAAACATTGGCCTTTTTGCACCAATGCCACAATCCACACCTTCCCGCGTTTTTTTCTCACGCTACGAAAACGAGACTGGAGCTGATTCAAACGTAATACAGTGGCAAGCAAAAGAAATGAGAAATCTAGCGAAATAAAATCTTTTTTTTTTTTTTTTTGCTTAGGAGCTTTGAAGATCTGTGGTGGCTGACCTCTGGAATAAAAGTTGTATTCTCGTGAACACAGTACGAGGGAGGAATACTCACACAGGTGCATTGTGATGCAGAAATTAAGGCATGTAAGCTTTTTGATATACCTCAAGATGATCATTATTCACGATTAAGATAGGTGTACAAATTTCCCATGTTAAATTATCAAAAACAGATTGCATAAAATCTGGAGGCTTCAATTGGTCTTTTTAGTGAGGTTAATTTTAATTTTCAAGATGAGAAGAGCTACACCTTCGTGCAAATTAATTGAAACAAAACGAATAATTCCGTTATTATTTACTTTTCTTTCGTATTTTCCCAATGACACGTGACCAAATGCACATGTTAGTACTTTGTATGTCGACTTCACAAAGTCTTTCCTTGCAGATTGACCACAGATTCTCGATTGGATTTAAATCAGGAGAATTTCTGAGCCAGTCGATAGTACTTTGATTTGCTCACTGGTAAGACTTGCCGTTCTGTTCATGCAGCGTTACAATTTTTACGTTTCCTTGGAGTAACGTCCATCGCAGACAACTAATCGACAGTCGAGACAATAGTGTCTAGGAGTGATGAAAATCTGATGCAATCACGATGGCCAAACAAATTTCATCATACAACCCGAAAATAGATTCATATTACTGCACACTACTGCAAATGTCCTAATCAGAGGAAAAATAGAAATCAATTACACCCTGTCACTCCAGTGGGTCTAAAACTGACTGTAACATCCAAATGTTATTACCTTAGGTCGGAGTGGACCTAGTGACAACAGCAATTCAGAAGTGGTTTCAAACTCCTCAAAACCGCCAATTTCCCGATCAGAGGCCTTGCTGCCGGATGTAGTTTATCGTCATACTCAGAACCACAGAAAGTACCTGACACCTCCTGCGATGCACTAATTTTACAAGAGTACTGTTGCTATATTGGAGCTGGGGCTACTCTGTGCTGTCTTGTCTTCATTTTTCAGGCTTGATAGAGTTCAGAAGCCTTCTATGTGGTTTTGTGGACGATGAATTACTTTCCATACTATAAATCCTTTAATACAGACGAAAGTCGCAAGCTTCTCGTTACGCGATCGTTATTTCCATGACAAATGTTCTAACGAGTTACATTCCTTTCAGTCCTTCACAGCTAAGGCCAGACATGCCACATACACTGTGACGAAACATCCTCATTCCTTTTATATTCCTTTCGTAAGGAGGAGGTTCCACTTGAGCAGATCCTTTCCAAGAGCCGCTACTTTGTGGAACTGTCACCTGAAAGGGTGCTAGCCCAATCGCTACAATCTTATTCCCTTCAAGTCTAGGCTCAACCAATATTGTTCGTACATATCCTCATGATCTGTAGTCCTGAGTATGATTGCTGGCAGCAAGGCTTCAGATTTGGTTTACGGTATATCAACCTCAATGGGTTATTTAATGCCGACAACATTTTTAGGATAGATTCGTATGAATAAAATATGTATTCTTTGCTTTAGATTGGTTTGGTTTATTTTGTTTTACGGCATATCAACCTCCATGGGTTATTTAATGCCGACAAAATTTTTATTGCTGGTAATATTTGTTTTTTCAAACATGTATTGCTAGTAATATTTTTCCTTACAAAAATCTATTTCTGATAATACTTTTTTAAAAAAAAGTATTGCTCGTAAAATTTTTTGCCTAAAATGTATTGCTGATAATGGTAATAATTTTTTTCTTTTACAAAGTATTTCTGGTATTAAGACCTATTTTTACACTTTCATAGTGTTTTGACCCCAATTTGAGGGTTAACTATTTGCCCATAGTTGGGACCCTAACAGGTGCTACCACTCCGGGTCAGTGTGGACCTGGAAACACCAGCAATTAAGAGGTGGTTCCACGCTTCTCAAAACCTCCTGATCAGAGGCCTTGCTGTTGGACGTAGTTTATCGTCTTACCCAGGACGCGGATGTAGTTTATCGTCATACCCAGGATGGCAAATCTTCAGATCGGGAGATTGGAGGTTTTGAGGAGTGTGAAACCACCTCTTAATTGCTGTTGTTCTCACTCTGACCCGGAGTGGTAGCGCCTGTTAGGGTCCCAGCTATGGGCAAATACTGAATCCCAAAACAAGAAGAAACCCTATGAAAGTATAAACATTTATTTTTATAGTAAAAATACCACCAATACATTTATATATATATATATATATATATATATATATATATATATATATATAAAAAATTACCAGCAATATTTGTTTATAGTAAAATTACCGACAATATACTAATCAACATAAAACAATATTTCATGACATTAATCCATATAATATCCTACAATTTCTTAAATCAAATTGTATGCCAAAATATAACTCTAACAAAACTACAACATAAAGCACATCTTATTGCGTCTAGTAATTACGTTCACACAAACATGTATATACACTAAAGCCGAATATCATTTCGCATGTATTCAACTGTGAAAACAGGATAACGTATATCATATTCTTATTACTTTAAAGACCCCAAGAAAATTAAATTTCGACATTAAATGACCCATAAGGAGTTGATGTACCGTTAACAAATTAATCAAATCAAAGCTCCCAAGAAAATTAAATTTTAGCATTAAATGACCCATAAGGAGTTGATATTCCCTTAACAAATTAATGAAATCTTCCAAGAAAATTAAATTTCGACATTAAATGACCCATCAGAAGTTAACAAATTAATCAAATCAAAGCTCCTAAGAAAATTAAATTTCGACATTAAATGACCCATAACGTGTTGATGTGCCGTTAAACAAAGAAATGAAATCCTCTATTTACATTCATAAAACAATCTTATTCACTAATCTTATGACTTGAGTGTCTGTCTGGCCATGTATTGGGTGAACAATTAGTAAAAAAATATAATAATTCTGACGGTCTATGTAGGTGTCGTATTACGTCCGAAACTTTTATTTTATTAACTCTATCCACACTAAGGCACAGGTAAATGTAAGAAATCCAGAGTTGATCGAACGCCCTACAATAGTAAAGCTTTGCATACTGACCATGCTAATTACGTCAGAATTCACGCAGTGAAAGTCACTTGCATGCATGCGCGTGGCATTTTGTTCTATATATAAGATACCAATATATATATATTTCTTTTCAACATCATCACTTGATAAGACACAGAGTGTGTTGAAACAAAATGGCTATTTTTGTAGTGATTTTATAACATACTTATGTTATAAATTTTTTTATAAAAATAATATATATATATATATATATATATATATATATATATATATATATATATATACGCTCCATTTGTTTTTTATTCCATCCTAGCTAAAACGAAGGAATGTACTTGATGACATCTGTTTTGGGTTTAAATCAAATTAACTATTTTGAAT